AAAAAAAAAAAAAAAAAAAAAAAAAAAAAAAAAAAGTAGTCAATAGTTAGCCTGAGCTAATGGCCATGCAGTTTTAAATAATATCAGCCTGTGTGTGTTTATTTGGGTCTGAGCGGCTGCAGAAATGCAAGGATAAAGGAGCTGGGTGGACATAGGAAAACTTGAACTACACACACACACACACACACACACACACATACACAGTTAAAGACAGGGTCTCACTATGTAGCCCTGGCTGTCCTAGAACTTGCTGTGTAGACCAGGCTGGTCTCAAATCCACAGGGATCCTCCTGCCTCTGCCTTGAGAGAAGGTGTGCACTACCAAACCCTACCCAAACACAGTAGAGCTGGCCCTGAAGGTGCAGGAGAACTGGCCCCGCCCCTTCTCATCCCTAGCCAGGACAATACAGGAGAGCTCACCCTGGTGATAAGGACAAGGAAGAGCTGGCGGGCTGACCAACCCTACAACTACCCAGGCCCAGAACCAGGGTTATGAGTTGGCCCACCCCAGCGTCCACCCCATCTGTGATCTGCTGGAGCACATGAAGGGACTGGTCCTGCAGACCCAAAGCTTCAGGATCTCCACCACAAAGGGCAACAACAGGAAAACCAGGAGGAATCCCAGTGAGGACCCAGCATTGAGAGTGTAGCAGAAGCCTGAGGCCTCAGACCAGACCAATGACTCTTTGCAATGAACACTTGCAAGTAAAGATACATGGACAAAAGGGTTCACTGTGTGACTCACTGTGTCACACTGCAGCTTCCACGATGAGACTGATTTTTCTTTTTTTCTTTCTCTTAAGTTTTATTTCATTTTATTTTGTGGGGAGGTTACAAGAGCAGAGGGTGGATACAAAGGGATGGGAAAATGAATTGGATGGAGATGCATGATGTGAAAGACACAAAGAATAAATTTAAAAGAACATTAAAAATAAATAAAAAATTAAAAAAAAGAAACCCTGCCCAATAAAAAAAATACATTTATTTATTGTTATCTGGTGGTGATGGGGGGATGTGTTCCACTTGTGGAGGTCAGAGGACAACTTGTGGGAGTTGGTTTTTTCCTTCTACCACATGGGTGTGGTGTATGTCCTTCCAAGATTCCGTGGGTCCTCTGGCCCAGCCTGTGGCTCTCAGTGTCACTTTCCCCCTCCCGCTCTTGAGACTCTCCCGGGACAGAGCATAGGACCTCTAGAGTTTCCATTCTCAGCCTTCAACAGAGGGGCTGGCAGAACCCTTAGCAGGTCAACTGGTACTGTAAAACTCAGTTAATGTAAAACTCAGTTAATGGCAATGAAAAGACAGGCCTCCCAGGCATGGTGGTGCCTTTAACCTCAGCACTGGGGAGGCTGAGGTAGGCTGATCTCTGTGAGTTCAAGGCCAGCCTGGTTTACAAAGCAAGTTCCAGGGCAGCCATGGCTACACAGAGAAACCTTGTCTCAAAAACTAAAAGAGTAAAAAAGGAAAGAAAAAAATGGGCCGCATGGTGAAACCATGTAGGATGCGGGTGTGCTAGGGGCTGGTGTGGACATTTAAAGCGCTTTATATATTAGAGAGAGAGAGAGAGAGAGAGAGAGAGAGAGAGAGAGAGAGAGAGAGAGAGAGAGAGAGGGAGAGAGAGCGCACACGCGCGTGTGCGCACAGTGAGTGTTTAGGGTGCGTGTGCCTCAGCGTGCATGTGGCCTCGGAAGACAATTTGTGTGTGTT